CCTCAAGCTCCATACCTTCATGAAATATCTCAAAGAAATGTATTGGGTAAAAGAATTGTATTGGGTAATGTTACATTTCTCAGTTGACCTGACTAAGTTTATGGATAATGATTTGTAAAATATCTGATAAAATGTTATCTCTCAGTCCGGGCTGTATAATGAAAAGACGTGCGATCTAACGGAATCTCCTGAGGAGCTGATCGGATATATCTACTCGAACTGTATTGACTGGAAGTGTGAGAAAGAGCGAGGTTTGTGTGTTTTTTGCCCACAATACTTTGTTTTCAAACTTTGCAAATTACTCTGCTTATGGTTGTTTTCAGAGCAGACAATGACTGTGATCAAAGAGCTTGCAAACGCCAATCACATGAACAATCTGGAATCGATTCAGGAGGAATTGGTAATGAACTGGTTGATTGCTGACAAAACAGACGACGCCTACGCCGTGGATCCGAACGATGTGAGCGCATGATTAATAGCGAAAATTCATTATCATTATGTAATCTTGATGCTACTGACAGACTATGGGCAACACTGGTGTGGATGTAGGCATGAACACTGCTGATGAGAATGAGATCTTCCTTTTGCCATTCTTTGATGTGGCGGTCGACAGGTGAAGAAATAACGCATGCTAGCTTCTGATTGTGTATGCGAAAGTTTTCATTCCAGAATAGTTCATGTGCTCAAGCAGATCAACATGGAAAAGATCATGCTAGATCTTATCACTTACCTGCGAAGAGTACGTTTACAGTGACTCATTTACTGGTTTTGTTACGAATCAAAACTTTATTTTGATATGATCTTTCTATAGGACTCATCTACCGTTGCTGGAGGGTTCAGAACAATTGTACGTGCTGCTTGTGTTCCTACTACGTTCTTACACAGATGATCAGCTGAAACGAGCCAACTATGATCATCTGAAAATCTGGTTTGTTTTGCTAATCTGTTGATATTCCTTGGCAACAACAATGCGCAGGAACGTTAACGGCTATTATACCCTCACATTTTATAAGAAAGCTTATTATGTTTTGGTCGCTTAATATTCTTGTCGTTTACTGTCGGGGAGCCGTACACAGAACTTCACAGCCGGATATAGGGAGAAATCCCTACTAGTTCGCTTGTTTTGACTTTTGTGGAATAGTTATTTCTTCTTTCACTGCATTGCTTTTTCAACGAACACGTATAATTCACCTTTCTCTCATGGCTGTTCTGGGTAGGAAAAGAGAGAGATTCATAGGGATTTCTTCTCATCCACGGCCTCGGAAGTTCGCATACAGACTGGGATGTTCCGGGATAGGTTTGGACCATTCAGGTTCTTTCCCAACTAATACTTACTTCTCTACAGCTTACGTGCCTGCATCGATATAGCCTCCTATTTTCTCTCTCCCGCCTATGCCTCCCTCTCTGTTATTGGGCGCCTCACCTACATTTTTTATATTAAACTGAAGTCTATTTTTATAGTGTCGATTTGGACGCCGTGTTATATGGCCGTTTGCTTGAGCTGGCGCATGTCGACATTCCTCTAGATACTTTCCGTCGTCAAGAGAAATCTGTTGTAGTTCGCGGCTTAGTTGCTCCTGGCGTGCGATGGACACCACAGGTAAACACTTCAAAGGCATCTTATTTTTCTTCTATTACATTAAGCGTGGGTACATGCGTGAGGAGCATGAGTCGCACCTCCTCTCAACGGAGAAGAGGCATGGGGGAAGTTTGTTTAAATACGAAAATGGGTACTGCTGTGGAATGATTCAGGGAACGAGGCATGGAGTGAAGTGACTCCCCATTAGGAAAGCCTCAAGGGTACCATGGAACTGTACTACATTTTATAATAGGTATATGCTCGTCGAAAAAGGGCAAGTGTTAGCACTTTGACGCCTCCGCTTCAGAAACAACTTGATTGAATCCTGCCCAGGTCAACAAATTTTCTAGAGGACGATGAGTTGGTAGCAGACTCATCTGGGACGAAAAATCCTTACTTAATGAAACGAATAGCTGAAGTTCTGTCATCGTGTAGATTAACCACATTTTAAGTGCCACTATGCTAATCCAACCAGAAACGTGGCTTATTCCGAAGGGATC